TTGAAGAAATGATTCCTTCTGCAATAAACCCTCCATTTCAGAAAGAACAAACATCCCATTCTCGCCTCCTGTCAGTTCTTCAGATTACAGCTTTTTTGTGGCTATATACGGTATAGAAAGAAGTTTCCAATTCTGCAGTATCATTTCACAGTCTTTCTGTTAATGAAACATTAGGGTTATCTAAATCTCCTAAAAAAGTTCTTAATTCTAAAAACCTCTTTATCATCAAATATGTACTTCCTTATTGCATTGCTTCATCAATAATTGCTCCTTTTCCTGTTCGCTTCCTAAGAATGGCATCAATGTTAGGAGTTGTTGCTGCTATTGCTGTTTACCTAAATTTATCAATGAGATTTGTAACTAAATGAAGTAACTAAATGAATCAGTTTAACCACTAATGGCAAATATCACATCCATCCTCCTCCCTTATATTTATTTATTAATAGGTCAATAAAATAGAAAATAACCATTTATTAATGTATACAGTTCATAAATAAAAATAATAACTCAGCTTGTCATAAATTTTTTTCAATTCATTTAAATTTCATTTCATTCAATCTGTCCAACAAAAACTGGAGTCGGAATCTACCTATTTTTAGCGACTCTGACTCCTTTTACCACAAAATCTGCCCGACTCCGACTCCACAGCCCTGGTTTTACCACTCTGATATTATTTTGTTCAAGAAACTCGGGTGTCAATCTTGCTGAATGAAAAGGTGCATTGTCATGGTGGAGCATGAGTCTGTAACATTCACTTCTTGAAGAATTTCTGGAAGACACTTAGTGGTGTACCAGTTAGCTATGACTGTTATCTCTCTTTCTAGCTTGATGGCTTTGATCAGTCCTGCACTTCTGAAGAAAACGGCATACGTTACTTTTTCCATGGCATGTTGTACGCATGGGATCATCTTCAGAAACCCACACTTTACCTTTTTGAAATGTTGGAATGTTAGAAAATGTTGTCTTTATTTCATCATCAGTTGTGATTTCAGAAAAAATGCAGTGACCACCATATACAAGTAATTTAAGGGTTTCTTTACTGATTCTGAAACTTTCCTCTTTTTGGTGCTCATTTAAAGTATGGGGAACCCAATGGCAAACTAGTTTTTTCATATCCAGTTCTTCATGAATAATTTTATGTATGGTGGCTGATGCAATGTAAAGTTCCTTCTGTATCATTTGATAGGTACAGCAATTATCATCGATTAACATTTTCCATATGGCAGACGTATTATGCGGAATTATCGCTGATAACGTGTGTTCATCCTGAAGAGAGTTGCAAGCTCTTGGAAATTCTGTAAACCATCTGAATGTAGTTGCATGAGATGGACCTTTGTTTCCAAATGCTAACTGTAAACATTGAATTCATTTTTCTCGATTTAACCCCACTTTAAAATCATAGAAAATCATAGCGCAATAATATTCTCACACTAACTCCATTCTTCCTTCTGCCTAAAATTTATTCTATGCTAAACTACTTCGTCATCGGACAATAAAAAATCATCTACTAGGCTAAAATAATTCATATTTTGAAGTCTAACCGTTAATTTTTTTCTGCCTCTTATCATATGCATGTACAGTAGAGTCCTGCAAACCCGACATAATGTGGAATGAGAGACTGTCATGTTTCCGAAAAGTCGAGTTTTACGGAATAAGGGATGGGGTTTTCAGAACTCTTAACATTAAGCTGTAAATTACTCTGGATATTTGTAGCACAATATTGGACATGGAAAAATACAACATACAATTAAATAATGTTGACTTTTTATGTCAAGTTCTAGTACAATAGGAGTCATAAAAAGAACAAATATCCTAAGAAAATTGAGTAAAAAAACTTAAATACAAAAAAGAAGAAATATTATTAGTATTTCGGTGTAGAAAAATATTGTGTGATGGTAGATCGTTTCTCACACTCATTCTGTGGTTATACAGCTTCATCCCGTAAGTGACTGAGGAACAAAATGTCCATACCAGATGCGCCTTGCTCCTCCATGTAACTGAGCATCCCTTCAGTCCTTCACTGTGGGTCATTTTAGCTTTCCCGTTGTCTTCTTCAAGCTTTTCATTTTCTGATTCATCTTAATTTGCGTCTTTTACCAGTGCGACTATTTCTGCATGTCCTAAAATTTTGCTATTTTCATCTTGTCCTGTCAATTTTTCAACATCACCATCAGTAACTCCTGGCATTTTCTTCAGTCAGTCAGTAATTTTAAAATTTTCTGTCTGTTGTTTGCTTTTGTGAAATTCGTTTCCTGAATAGTCCAGCAACTTTTTCCAGGAACGAACGAGGCTTATTTGTTAGATTTCACTCCAAGAATGAGCTATCCGTCCAACATATTTATTTTCAGTTTCTTGATCATATTATACCCTGTCACCATGGCTAGGACAAGAGATGAAAGAGGTTTACATATTTTTTCTTCAATGCCTCCAAAACTCCCTGGTCCATCTGCTGACACACTGAAGTTATGTTAGGAAGAAGAAACATGGCTCTTATATCTCCATCTCGTAACTGTTCTGCATCAGGATGTCTAGAACGAGAATCGTCTTCCTTGGAAGATTTTTTGATATTTACAAAAAAAAAAAAAAAAAAAAAAAAAAAAAAAAAACTTTTCCGCCAATGGAACGAACTGTTGATGAAGCCAATCATTAAATATTGCTCCATTCATCCGGCCGTTTGACTGATTCTAGTACCAAACAGGAAGATTGTTGGTTTCGGTCTCATTAGTGTACTTTTTCAATGATTTTAATTGCCTATAAGCACTAGTTTGAGTTTATGGCTGCTTGTTGCATTACTGCATGTCAAGATTGTGACTCTCTCCTTGCTTCTTTTGCAGCCAGATACCAATTTTTCTTCCCTGGATGACAGTGTTTTCGAAGGTAATATTCAAAAATTCAGTTCACAATTATAAATTTGATTTCCAGATATACCCTCCTTTTTAATTAGTTTGTGGAAATTATGCTTAAATATTGCAGCATTTTCCAAGTTAGCAGATAGCTTTTCCCCGCAAACGTTTAACTGCCTGATGCCGTACTGCTTCTATCGAGCCAGGCAGCACTAGCAATAAATCCAGACTCTCCTTGAAATTCATCATAAAATTTTAGGGCTTTCTCTTATAAAATTAGTCCTGAAATGGGTGTTCCCTTTGCTGCCTGAAACACAAATAAAGCGCCTCGCTCACTTTTTTATATTCACTACCTTTCATACATTTTCTTTCCTTTAAACTATCCATATATGATCTTTTCACACACCAAGTTTTCTTTACACTTTCCCTTTTATCCAGTCTCTTTAAGGCATCTAGTTTCATTTCCTTTGTCATACTAGTTTTTCTTTTGAACGACATTTTTCACTTCGCAAAATATCAAAAGTTTCCAAAAATATGTTAACATGTATACGCTTGGATGTGAACATAGGAACGATACTGCGATGAACTAGTGCGAATTTAGCTTGCAATGAGATGCAGTCACAAAACTTCAGATAAGTCTCCTAACGTTTCACAGCAATAGAAAGGAATGTGAGCCAGCTGCCAGCTGCTACCTGACTTTCTTCACATCCTCGAAAGAAGCAAACAGCGTTGCCAATAGTATTACAACATAGCTTGAAATTTGTTAGGCAGTTCCAAGAATAAATAGCACAATGTGAAAACAGCAAAAATTACAGAAAAAGAACACTCAAATTTTTCAACAGAGCAGGAGAGACATACACATAAATAATAATTTTATGTACCGTATGTAATATTTGCTCTGTTTGACCTAGAGATATCTTAAAAATCTTCCAAAAAATTGTTGAGTTGAGTGGAATGTTGTGATATGGTGAGTCGAGTTTGTGGCCTCTACTGTACCTAAAAAATTTCAGAGTGACCTCAGTATTATATATTAACACATTTGGGAAAAAAAATATGTGTTATTCTGTTCTAATAGTAAGATGAAAGTTTTTCATTACAGGACTTTCTTGTAAAGAAATGAAATTTAAAAAGTACTTCATTTTAAAGTTTCTTCTTTTGATGCAATATCTATACTTTAAAGCTGATTTAAGAATGAGAAGACATCTTTATTTTACTTCCTTTCCTTTTTCTTCAATGATGTGATTCTACATTTATGTGTCTTATTTTATGAGGTTATTTTTTAAACTATTAGAAATGAAATAACAATAATCTTATTAATTTATTAGTATCTGTTATTGATGATTGTTTTTGATTATTCTCTCTGTTACTATGATGAATGTTTCCCCCCTTTTCTGCTTTGTGTTTATGTGATTTTATTTTTCTGCTAGTGGTTAGAAACAAACAGTCTTTAACAATTAAGGAAATTTCTGTTTAGTCGTTTTCCTAATATTAATTTTTGTGTACTCCAGACTATTTCAGTTTAATTTTTGCTTGATCTAAGTGGGATCTATTAGTGTTTCTTCTGATACTTTTCTCCTTTAAAAAATATATAACATATTTTACAAGGAAACAGTAACAAGAAATAATTCTGTAAAAAATAAATTTAATAAGAAATGTTGCAAAATTTACAGCCTCGCTAGAAGGAACAGTATGAAATAATTACACATGAGGAGAAACATAATTTCTTATCTTAGGGGGGAAAAAGAAAAAAAGAAAAGAACTTTTCTGTTTATATTTTGCACTTGTCAAATCTTTAATAATTATTTGTTTAACATTTGGTAGATAAAAGTGAATGTTGTGGCAAGAAAACAGAAAAGAACTTTTTATATTTTGTAGTGATCAAATCTGTAATAATTATTTGTTTAACCTTTAGTAGAACAAAGTAAATGATGTCAGTAATTATATTTTAATTTAAAATTTTTTTGTGACATAGGCATTCCTATTGTTATAAAGTTATATGAATATAGTAATTGAATTAGGGAATATTTGAATATTTCAATCCACAAAATGATTTTCATGTGTCAACGAAAAAGCATTATTAGTAATCTTTGTATTTTCTTTTTATGTTTTAATTTTATTTCATTCATTCATATTTATTTATTTTGTCCCCTCCTTCAGTCTGAAGACCAAGCAAAATCTGATGTAAGTAGTTAAATTTGTCATTTGTGTTATCATTTTGCTTTGTTACAATATGTTAGTTATAAAGTTCTTTATTAAATAGTTTTCATATTGATTTCTTCCAGTTTGATTCATGAGGTTTGCTCTTGCTGATTTCACTATTAAAAATTGCAGTATTGTTTGATTTTTAATTGCATAACCCATATTTGGCAAATTATATATACCATTAAAATACGGTTTAATGTCGCGTTGACGCACGCACGTAAGACCTTTACGGCTGCGAATACGCGTGTGCGCAAAATACGTTTGCGAATGCGCGTTTAATGTATAACGGATGGTACAAGCTAAGCTAAAACTATCTAATTCAGTTAATGTTGCAGATTGCGTTGTTCCTTAATCTTCGAATTGGATTCGGCTTATTATTTTTTGCAGACTGTTAGAGCAGTTTTATAAAAGTAAGCTTGAACTTTCGATTATGTCAAATAGAATTTCTGGTATATATTTACTAAAGATCTACAAAGCGAAAGTATGTTTCGAAGTCCATTAAACAAAAAGTGGATAAAGGCATATCCTTTGTTTATCTAAACTTTGTTTATCTTTAACGCCGCAGCGCACAATGAATTGGAAGTTGATCTGTCAGCACTATCCTTATCTTCAGGGCAGATGTTTTTATTTTATTTGGCTTATGATTCCTACTAAATTGTAGTATTTCATCTCGATGTACTCGGTCTTTGATATGATTTAAATCAATTCCTCGTCTTTATTAATTCGCTTCCGATAGCGAAGAAGAAAGTGACAGAGGTTATTGAAAACGAAAAAATTTCGATTGACAAATTAGTCAGTATTCTCGGCACAGCAATTATAGGACTGTAACTTTAACAGCGAAACTTGGTAAATGAACAAGAAAACTATGTCTGTTTATGGAACTAAAGAGAATGTATTATGACATAAAAAAACGAAGCAACTTAAACAAACTTACATTGAAAGAAGAAATGTTTAATAAAGTAAACAAGTAAATATTAAGCTTTTTTTTTTTTTTTTTTTTTTTTTTTTTTTTTTTTTTTGTAAATTTTGATACCTTTTAGATCATAATTGTTCTTTATTTCATAAATTACGGTTTTTTCATATTTTTTTTTAATTTTTTATAATTTCTGCATGCCATCTTACCAGATTTAAACTGATGATCTATAATCCGGAATCGCCGAAGTCCCGACTAGTCCGGATTAACGACTTTTGACTGTATAATAAATAATGATTCAAATAGGTTAGCGTCAGATCAGCAATGTATCTATGTAGAATGTTTTGGTTTAATTTGTGTGCCAAGCAGATATGCAGCACCAGAGCCAAATTACTGATCATACAAATTTATGATAAAATGATTGTTTCTTCAGTAACAAGGTATTTTATTCAGTGAAGTGAAATTAAGAATCGGTACTCTCAAGATGTTTTATTACGTGCGAAGGGGGCAATCAAATGCATATGTGTAAAGCCTACAAGAAAAACTCTGGTTTTGAGGTCCGGATTTTAGATCATTCTGGATAATGGATGTGTGAACTTTGTACTGTGTTAGATATTCAGATATAATTGATCATATTTCAGAACTTTAGAATGTGGTGTTAGTTTTGGGTCCGTGACACTTAGCCGACGGGACACTTAACTAACACGGACACTTAGCCTACAGGACATTTAGCCGACACGGATACTTAGCCGACAGGACATTTAGCCGAAACGGACAGTAAGCCGACAGGACATTTAACCCGACGTACAACAAGAAGCGACACAGAAAGTTAGCCGTCAAGACTGTTGTAAAGAGAGAAGTAGAGGGCGCTGCTTGGCAGTAGCGCAATGCATGTAAGTAGAAACGAAATGTCGTTTGATTAGGCAACATGATTTCTGTGAAGGTAGTCCACCTAACAATAGGACAGTTGTAAATATGTAAATATAACGAATAATAAATAGCATTAGAAAACTGAACCATCGGATGTTTTTTTGTGATTGCTCTACGGGCCGCCATGGATAAATGCAGGTTCGTCACAATGGTGCATCTTACGGAAATGTTTGGATTTGTTAAAGTGAACTTCACGAGGAGGAAGTATGTGTCCAGACCATGCCCTAGGTAAGAGCATGATTATTATTAAATTTTGAACGTGTTTGATTTGAATTTTGATAATTTGCAGTCTTAGGTACATTTGTGTATTAACGCGAAATAATGGCAGAACTAGATAGATTAAAACGAAAGAGAACCGCATTGAGAACGGTAGTATCTAAACTATTAAAGAAAGTCGAGGATAGCTTAGCAAAGAAAGATACAGATGAATTATGCGAAGTGCATGAATTATTAATAGAAAAGAAAAGTAATTTGAAAGAATTAGACGAGGCAATTCATTCCGTAATTGAGAGATAGATTCTCTAGAAGCGGATGTATGTAGTTAGTTCTGAGGAATATCAGGAAAAATGTTCTCGAGCTATTAAACGAATTAATCGAATGTTGGAAGAGGATAAAATAAGTATTAAAGATCCTGAACAAAACTTGGTTAGACTGCAAAATGTACAAAGTACGGTAAAACTTCCAAAACTAGTTTTAGAGAAATATTCAGGTGATCCTGAAAAATTTACGGAGTTTTTTGGAACAGTTACGAAAGCACTATAGACAAAAACGAAAGTCTTAGTAAGATAGAAAAATTCGCATACTTGAAAACATTACTTACAGGTGCCGCGAGTAATATGTAGTATCTTCATTAGAATTAAATGCAAAAAAATTACGATGAGAGTATATAAAACTTTGAAGGATAGATTCGGGAAAAAAGAAATAATAATTAGTCAATTCATGAACAAACTGTTAAATTTAGAACCAGTAAGGAATTCAAATAATATTAAAGCTTTACGTAGGTTATATGATGAAATCGAAATTGCAGTTCGGAATTTGGAAGCGCAAGGAGTTACGAAAGGTTCATTTGGTCAGTTATTAATACCTGTGTTGTTAAAAGCTATTCCAGAAGAGTTCGTTCTGGAATTTAATCGAAGGAAAAACCCAAATGAAGAAATTAATGTTTCAGACTTGTTGGACTTCATAAAGCGGGAAATTGAATGTCGTGAAGCGTCGAGTTTATTGACGCGAGATAAAAGAAATACCTTGCCTCCACGTTTCGAACATGCTAAGTCTGATTATAAAAAAATTCACAGAAATGTACCTACGGCTGCCAGTTTCAATGCTGTTGATAATCGTGCATGCATCTTCTGCGAAAAGTCCCATAATTCATTTTCTTGTGATAAAAGCATTAAAGAAAAATTGTGTAAGTTACGTACTGAAAATAGATGCTTTATTTGTTTTCGAAAATATCACATTTGGAAATCGTGCAGAAATAAAACTAACTGCTTAAAATGCGGGTTTAAGTCGCATCATGAGTCACTATGTACGAGTAGTTCAAATCGTAACAAAGCGCGAACGGCTTCAAATCAAAACATAAAAGAATTGTGCGCGAAAGCTCGCGAGATAATTCAGTAGATGAAACACAAAACTCCCCGAAAGAACACACGCTTTCTGTTGTTCCTTGTGATAAATCATTGAAGAAAAATGCTTTATTGCAAACCTGTTCAGTGTTAGCTCATTATGACGGAAAGTCAGAGTTAACTAATTTAATTTTCGATTGTGGTGCTACACGAAGTTTTGTTCATATTAGTGTAGTTAAGAAATTAAACTTAAAATTTGTTGGAGAAGAAACATTGTCTATTTATTCTTTCGGAATGAAATACGCAGTACCTAAAACATATAAGGTTGTCGAATTCTGTGTTTCAGATGCGAAGCAAAAGAACAAAATAAAAAAATCAGCTGTCTCGTCACTGACGCCATTACGGCTGCACATATGACCACGCCGTCAAAAGAAACACTAAAAATGTTGAATGGGTGCGGATTGCGAATCGCTTGTTTATGTAAAGAAAGCGTTGGAATTCTAATAGGTGTGGATTATTACTGGAAGATGGTAAGGGGGGGGGGGAAAAGATTCAATTAGGAAAGGAAATTTATGCGATTTCTACTATGTGTTTGGATGGGTCCCAGTTGGCCTTCAAGATAAAGAGAGCGAAATAAATAGTATCTCAAAACACGGCAATAGTAAACCTTTCTTCTTGCGTAACTGATTCATTGAGATCGTTATGGACTTTAGATTTGATGGGCCTTACCGATGACTCAGCGATTTCTAACGAGGTGAGAGAAATGATTCAGAGCTTTGAAAAGGAAATACGGGTAGAAGGTAATAGATACTATGTCAGTTTATTATGGAAATCGGAAGCAGGGCAATTAGAAAATAATTTCGGAGAGTAGCATTAAGACGATTTGAAAGTCTTAAAAATAGACTTATTAGAAATCCTGAGATTTATCAGCAGTATAAATCCGTAATTGAAGAGCAAATGAAGGAGGGTATAGTTGAGAAGTGTTCACAGGAAATAACGGAGGCATCGTATTTTATGCCGCACAGGGAAATAATAAAACCTAAGGAAACCACAAGGTGTAGGATTGTTTACGACGCGAGCTCTTCTAGAACTAAAGGTGTAAAGTCCTTAAATGATTTTTTAGACATTGGACCTAGTTTGATCCCCGTGGTTTTGGACATAATTTTAAAATTTCGGAAATATGAAATTGCTTTCAGCGGAGATTTAGCTAAGGCCTTTTTAATGATAGGAATCTTAGAAAAGGATAGGGAATATTTAAAATTTCTTTGGTTCGGGAATAGTGAGGAAAAAATATAAAGTTTTAAGGTTTAAACGTCTTCCATTCGGACTTTGCTGTAGTCCAGCAATTTTAGCGATGACGATAAAATTCCACATTAAAAAATATAAAAGCACAAATCCAGAAAGTTATGAAATGTTAGATTCCTCGTTATATGTAGACGATTTATACTACGGTGCAGACACTATTGAAGATGCATGTCGATTATCCTCAGACGCGGTTAAGATTTTTAAAGACGCTGAGATGAATTTGAGAAAATTAAGGTCAAATTCCGAGGAACTTAATTCCTGGTGGATTG